CTGAGAATTCCCACAAAACACACGTGGCATCCACCCACCTCAGCTTTCATGGTTGTAACTAGGTAGGTGGGCAATTATGCTGACATTGAGACACCTGACCCAATGTTAGGGTAGACTTTCCTATCAAAAAAACCTTCGCACGTTAAAGATGGAATATGACAAAACACCTCCACACCCCAAAATTCACATGCTTCTCTACCAGCTTCCTTTGTAATCTGTGTTCCAGATGTTCTAAAAGAGATGTTGCAAAAAGAGAATCTGATTACTTTAAGTCTCCAGGCTGTTTACAGGCTTTTTTTAATGACAGAAGAGGTACCTTGTTAAGAGAGGAGAGGCTTCGCTTGGAAAGGTATAAAGATATTAAAGTAAGTATAAGATCTCTAGATGGGCATAGGTTGAAAACACAAACTCAGGAGGTGCAAAAAACTTCTTTTGAGGTCTCTGTTGTTTGGAAACATCCTGCTCTTAAAGCTGTGCAGTGCAAATTGCATATGTGGCTTTGTGGGCAGATCTCAGCTGTTTATTTTTACACAGTGCTAAATACGAACGCTCACGCATTAGTAAATCCACTTGCAAATGCATTTCGGAAACATTTGTAATTTTTTTCCTTCTGTATCTCCATGTAGAAAGAATTTCCAGACACAAATACGAGTCAGTAAAAAAACAACTGTGATTGTTAGAACTTGAAACTAGGAAGCACTTAAATAATTCACATTTATTAGAAAGTGACAGCAAACAAATTGCACCTTCTACAACCTTAGGAACAAATGCGTTTTGCACACACCTACCAGCTTACAGGAAATTGTCTGCACACCTCGGCACCTGCCTTGGCATTTGATACAGGCTTTGCCTCAGACGAGAGGAAAGACCCAAATTACACTGCCTCGGGAATCAATTTACACTTCACTGTTCTGTTGACTTCAGTGACAGTGTCATGTACAGAACAATACTGGACCAGACAGGGATACTCATTTTCCGTTTATGAGTAACCAGAATGAAGTTTCATTCATTTTGGATTTAAGCCAGTAGAAAATAGCCTCTCCAGTTGCTCACCCACTGAATCCTCAAAGACCTTCTGGCTTGTAGGTCAATGGTACTAAGCCAAATTGTATGATTACAACAACTTGCCTGATTACCTTAAATAGCAGTTCATGAGAATGACAACAATTGTCAGGTGGGGTAGAAGGGGATAGCTCTGCGCCTGAGAGCAAGTATATGCACTAAAGCAGCAGATTCTTCCCTGACCAAACGGCCAGAGAAGTCTCAGCTGAGTTATGAGAAAAGGTGTCCAAGCCACAGAAATTCATTCTCCTCACTCAAACGAAGCAATTAAAAATTCTACTTCTGTCATAGAAGCTCAGTCCCAGCACATAGTCCGTCGGAGACAAAAGCACTGCAACACCCTGTGTAACGAATACCTTTGCAGCAGGTTGATCTCAGCCAGCCACAGCGTATACTCCACTGTGGTGAGAAAGAGCAGCACAGCAAACTTCACCTGACCCACAGAAGACAATTCCAGTAAGAGGCAGTTGTGAAAACCAGTGACTGTCTCCATGGATTCTGCCCAGCAATTTGTATAATTGCCTGCTGAGCCGATGAAATTATTTTGCTTGGCTTCTGTGAGTCATGGAGCCAACCCCTGCTATCTTCAGGATCTCACTTGGCTAGATGATTATGATCTGATCCTATAATCAAACCTATGAAGGAAAAAAAGGGCCTGTCCTCAGGATCAAGGAAGATCAAGGCTGTAGTATAAGGGTGGGGCAAACCTGAGAGTGCTTATTATAGGAAGAGCTGGCAATGATGCCTCGTATTAAGGTCATCTTATGCTTTGTCTTACTTACCTAACATGAAAATGATGGCTTACATCTTTCATGTTCTCTTATTTTTAGAGTAAGAAAAGGGAAGAACCTTCCAAGATGCTTAACGTCCAGACTTGCAACTGTCACATCCTCTAGTTGCTCCCCACCAAACCTGGGTTAAGTGCTAAGAGATTTAGAGAATCTGTTTGGCTTGCTCTCAAACTTACCTACAACCTCCCTCAGACAGGGATCTACACAGATGGCAGGGAAATAAGGTCTTTGGAAACTGGGTGCAGACAGACAAGGTTTTCAACTGAAGTTTAAAGAAAACATAGTATTTCTTGTGAATTGACAAACTAATTTTCCTAATCTATATCTTCTGTAGTTATAGAATACGTTTACATTAGTATGTTCCTTCTGAAAAAAAAAAAAAGGAATGGTCTAAATGAAATTGCATTTTTCTCAAGACCACAAGACACACTATATTGCCTCAAAACATGGCATGCCTGTCAGGAATATGGACCCTCACAGCCGTACCACCACTACTCATTCCTGCCTAGTTACAGCCCCCTGGAGTTGACTTCCCTAGTCTGAAAGGCAGAACCCTGCACCTCTGATGGGAAAGTTTAAGTTTCTGTGGAAAAATAAAACCCAATGCATTTTGTTCAGTGTTCTAAAAGCCTGCAGGATGACCATAAGCTAAACATGCCCCAAGAACGTTGTTACAATACACGCTGCCCCTAACACCAAAAGGCGTATTTCTAACTGTCTGGCCGTTAATGTTTTGCTGAGGTGAGAGGTTTAGCAAGGCCCAGTGCCCGCGGCGTCCCCCAGCGCCCCAGGCGAGCCGAGGGGGTTGTGTGGACACCAAGCAGCTGCCCGGCCCTGCCCTGCCTGCTCGGGCTCGGGAAGCTTCACAACAGGTCACGCCGCTGTCAGGAGACGCTGGCTGCTCGGCCAGCTGAGCTGGGCTGGGCTGAGCTGAGCTGAGCTGGGCTGGGCTGGACCCGGCTGCCCCCGAGGGCACCGCTCCCTCAGCGCGGCCCAGCCGCACCGACCCAACGGCAATGGCAGCCCGCCGCGCGCGGACCCCGGCGTTCGCACACCGCCCTCCGCCCCCCGCCGCCGCTGCCGCCACCGCGCATGCGCGCAGGGTGTACCGGGCAAGCACGCCGCATCCGGGCATTCCGCCCCGGCCTCGTGACCCCGCCCCTCCCGCCGCGGCGGGCGCGCAGCCGCCGGCCCCGCCCCGCGGCGGCCCCGCCCCGCGCGCTCGCCGTGCCCTAGCGCGCGGCCGTGGGGGCGCGGCCGGCAGCGGGGCCGCGCGGGAGCCCGGCGGGCGGTGAGGCCAGGCCGGGCCGGGCCAGGCCAGGCGAGGCGAAGCGAAGCGGGCGCCGCGGCGGGGGAACGGGCGAGGCGCAGCGCAGCGCGGTGTCCCGCGCCCTCCTGCCTGCCGAGCGACTGGGACGGGTGAGGCAGAGCTGCCCGCGGCTGGAGAGGCGAGCCGGGGCCTGCGCCCCCCCTCGGGGCTGCGCCCCGCTCCTGGCCGGCGGCGGCTGCCTGGCAGCCGGCTGGTAAACAAATGGCGGCGCCGCGGGGGCGGGCGCCCGGGGTCGCGGCGGGACGGGGGCGGCCGGGGCCCGGGGCCCGGGGCCCGGCGCCGGCTGGGGGGCGGCTCCCCGCTGCCCCTGACAGGTCCCGGCAGGGGGGCGGGGGCGGCGCTGCCCGCAGCCCCCGGAGGAGGCCGCCCGGGGGTTCGTTCGGTGCGCCTGCTTCGCCGGCGTCCCCTCCTCCCTGCCCGGCCCCGGCAGGGCCCGGAGCGCTGAGTGTGTGTCGGTGGTAACGTGCCACGGAGGGTGGCCGACCCGCCCCCGCGCTGGCCCCTCTGCGGCCCCACGGCCGCGGGTGGCGGCGGCGGGGCTGGTCCTGCCGCCGCCTCCAGCCCCGCCGTGCTGCCGGCGCGCTCCGGGCTGTCGCGATAGCACGTGGGCAGGGGTCGGGCCGGGGTCTCCCTGGTGCTGTCGAGACTGTCGTGGGAGAGACCCCTTCCTGCATGAAAGGAGAGGGGAAGAGAGCAAATAATCCAGAGGTACTGCTGAAATGCTTCTCTAAGCCCTCGTGGTCGTGTGTTTCGAGTAGTCGTGCTCAGATCACGCAAGAGGTGGTGTTTTGTCTCCTCTCTCCTTTTTTTTCGGTGGCTTTTACTGACGTGCCTTGGAACCTTTCCTTTCCTCCTTTATGGAGGGAAGGAGGGTGGTGCAGCTGTACTTCTGTAGCCACACAGGTTGGCAGCCAGAAGCGTATAGGGAGGTGACAGCAGCTTGTTGAACGGCACGGCTCGCACGTTGAAACAGCCGTGTGGCCTCACTTCCAAAAGTTCTGGCGCTGCTGCTGCCATTTGCAGCAGGTCTTCTGAATTCTCCAGGGAAAAACCCGTGGGCTGGAGAGACGGCTTGCTTTTGTTCTGTAAAATTGTTCTCAGATTTGGCTGAGGAGCTTTTCATAATCCTTGTTTCCCTTTTGCTGATTATGTTGTTAATATGCCAAAATAAGTGTGTGTTAGCATACTGTTCCAAAGCCAGGCCTGTGCTGGTGTAGCAACAGCATCACCTTGCTTGTGCTGGCACTTTAGGCAGGAGGTCTCCCTCTGCTTTCCCTAGAATCGGTGTTTAGCATCTGACGGTTAAGGCCTTTCCTGACAGCTGCTGCCTTCTGTTGTGTGATAATGTTATATACCTTAACTTGTGCTGTGATCTGGAGGGTTAAGGTTCGTGCATCCCTGCTGATGAGGATGTTAGTTATGCTCACTTATGATCTTCCTCTCTCCACCTCTCTCCCAAAAGTACAAAAATATTATTAAAAGAACTTTGGTTGCTAAGCAAGTTAAATACCTGGAAGATTGAAAAATACACTGGCAACTTTAATCTGCCTTTTACTCTATATGTATGTAAATATCTGTACGCAATCTCTCCATAGTGTTCAAGTTTCATCCAGAGAAAAAAATAGATTCAGAGAGTGTATTGGGGTTGTATTGCAAGCAGAGACTTTTTATGGGGTGTCTCTCTCTTTCTTTTCCAAAGTTAGAAGGTGTTGGTGAGCAGGGGAATTCCAGCAGAATGGGCAAAGGCTGTGCAAAAGCAGTATTTTTACTTGGCTTCTTGAATGTTCTTTATCTTGCACTAAACTTTTTACTCTACTTATTAAATTTGGATTATACTTCTTTTGCCTCTTTGATGTTAAGAGGCCTAATGGGCAAAATAAGTGCTGAGTTTAACTAGCAGTTTCTGGTTGGAAACTTTCTGGGCAAGATTTTTGCACGTTTTTGGACAACCAAGTTTTTGACCTATGTCATAAAGAGTGTCTTGTAGTACTGCTGTGAAGAAGAAAGCGTATGGCTATTCGTCTTCGTGAGTTCCTGTAGCTGCTGTGGATGTCAGCTTTGTAAGAAACCTGTGCTTTGTATTCAATCCAATCGAACTAAAAATGACAAGGATTATTTCCTTCACATTGATAGACCTATTTCTTTGGTGAGTTCTGTCTCAAATGAAACAAATGTTTTTTGCCTCTGGCAGTGAGATCCAGTGGTACAGAGATGGGAGCAGGGAATCATTTATCCAGTGATCATTATACTGGTGACAATTCTCTTTCAGTTTCCTTATCTGCACAGTAAGAATAAAGGTAACTTGAGTATTTGTTGGTGAGATGGTTAGATTGTATAAGGAGTAAGTATTCCTGAACAGACCACAAATATACAAGTAGCTACATTATTGAGGGTTACAGAGGAATCCTATATAAGCTGTCCTAAGTGTCTGGGCACTGTCTAGTCTCATTGAATGAAGGAAAAAGACTGAAAAATCTTGTAATATAAACTAGTGTAAAACATGCCAGGAGAGTTAAAATTGGAGGGGAGCTCTAGGTTCTGACTTTCTTCACAAGCTACTGTTTTTAATTGTTTCTGAGCTGACACTTGATGTGTTGTTTTAATTTTACTGTAATCTGTTAACAGTGCTGGCATCTACAATAGCTTGCAAAGCCTTACAGTCTGTAGAACATCTAATTGAGTAGACTGTGTTGTTGTTTACCAAATGCCAAACATTGATCTAAGCTCTTAACGTGAAATCATGATGAAAACCTGTTAGGTTTAAAGTTAAGGCATGAGAATGAGAGGCACAGTGAGGTAAAATTCTAATTGGTGTAGTCACAGGTCTTCATATAAAACTTAAGGTGGTGGTTCAAGCTGATTCTTGAGACTGGTTCAGATTTGGTTACACAGGTGCTGGAAGGTGGGTGGTGGTTAGTCTGATTGAAGTTTAAGTTTTGCATTTGACAGTTTAGAAGCATCTCTAGTAGAAACTAGTTTTCCAAAAGTCCTGTGTGACAGAGAAATTTGTTGGAGTGACAGATTCATTGCAAATAGCATCTTTTTATGAGTGTACTTTATTGATGTAGCTGTAATGCTCTTACAAAACCTTGTTTTAGCTGAGTCACTATTGTCATCGGCTATGGAATGTGTTTGGATGGGAATGTTCAGCTGGAGTGTTTGGGGAAAAAGTAATAGCATCAAGCCCGTTGACATTTGGGAAAGGCACTTTAAGTGATACTACAGATCAGAAATTGATGACTCATTGTATGTCCTAAAACCCCACACAAACTTGTAGGGCAGATCTTTGTGTTTTTCAGTTCTCTGTTCAAGGAAAACATATTGAAAAAGCTGGAGTAACATGCTCATTATGAGATCTATTCCCAGCTTCCTGTCATCAACTATTTGAGATAGGTGAGTTTAGAAAATATTTTTTTAAAAACTGGATATTTTTTACTGTTTCCATTGGTTTTAAAACCAAGCAGCTTGGAAGGGGAAAAAGCCTAGCAAGTGCTGCAAGAAACATCTTTCATTTGATAAGAAAGTGAAATACCTGAAAATAGAATAGGTTAAAGTTGTTAATACTATATCTGTTCTTGTTCTCCCATTCTTTTTCTCCTTCTAATTTTTCAAAATATTTTAGGACAAACTCTGTCTTTTCTAGTTAAGTATTACGTATGATATGTGTGCTGGGGGGTGTCTGTTAAATTTTTTTTTGTGTATCCTATACTTTTGTTGTACAGTGGTCAGGCCATCGTCTACTAACAAGGGTATATTTTTAATAGGAAAAATAACCTTGTATGTACAGAGTACATGACATCTGCATTTCAGTCTGGGATGTTGGAGAGAAGTTGTGTTCACATTCCATTTACTTTAAAGTTGTTTTCTTATTTTGCTATGGGGACTGGTTAAACTTGTGTAGTAAGACCTGAAACAGTATATTAACAAGATTTTTGGCCTGATCTCTGTAAATATACAGGGGTCAGGAATTCTGCAGCAACATGTATGAATTAAAATACTATGTAAGAATAAGGATTTATTTTTGGTTTCATTTGGGTGGCTAAAACTACCTACTGTAATGTAGAATACCTTATTTCTACCTGGTCTAGTGGAAGGTGTGTCTGCCCACAGCAGGGGGGTTGGAACTAGAAGATTTTTAAGGTCCCTTCCAAGCCAAATCATTCTATGATTCTCTGATAATTTTTTTTCCAGTAGCTCTGTTTCTGATTTCTGAGAAATGGCTTATTTTTGTTTCTGTTTTTCTGAAGGATTTGTGAGACAATATCTGGGGATATGGATATCATTGTTCCATTGGGTGTATCACCTTGGTTCCACCTCTGTTAACTTTCAGTGATAATCCATGGGTATGAACACATGGAAGAAGCAACTGCTTATAGTAAAGAGCTTTTTAGTATAAACAACTGCTTAAGTTCTCATGTCTGAAGACTGAGGCTAGACAAATTTTAACTAGACTAAATTGCAGTTTGTAAAAGAATAAAACTTTAATTTTTTTTTTTTTCTTTTTTGTTCTCCAGTTGTTGCAATTTATAACTCAAGCTTGTTGGGTTTTTTTTTGTGGTTTGGTTTTGTTTTGTTTTGTTTTTTGGTTGTTTTTTTCTCTTAAGTGGTTCCTGGTGGGCCAAGCCAAAGAATTAAGCTAAGTAGGTCAGAATAATATTTTAATAATCTCTTTTAGTCATAAATATAAATAGGTAACCATCTAGCATGGCTAGCAATAAACTAAAATGACAGATTACTCTTACAAAGTCTGTTAAAAACTTGGTTATTTTTCCATAAAACGTGCAAAATATTTCAACATTTGTAGCTCTAGGTAGTGTAAGCACAAGGCTTTTTCAGAGGATTGTACATATGGAAAGTAGTCTGTACACCTGAAACGAAACCTTACTTCTGATCTCATTTCTTACAGAGTCTGCAGCAATTGAGGAGTCGCACTGAGTTCAAGTTCAGAAGTGCTTTACACATGAAATCTACTGGCTCTCTAGCTGTTTCTGCCCTGTCACCATCTCAACAGGTAGAGTGCTTTTGTGCCTGAGCCATGCAACAGGCGTAGCTGTTCCTGGTGTGGTTGTCCTGTGTCAGTGTGTGACCAAAGGCACATTGAGGCCTTTGGGTTTCTTCTCTGGGGAACGTGTCAAGGAGAAAAGAATGCATGGCAGATCTGTCACAAAAGTACTCTAAGGAAAAGCCTCATAGTTTTGGTTTTGATTTTTAGCACTCACAGAGTTTAGCAGTGATAGAGGAAAGTGTTCCATCAGAGCTTCAATTCTAAAATGGATCAAAGCCAGACACATGGGGTAGCAATGGAGGGTCCACTTCAGTCAAAGCAGTGTTTTGCTTTGGGTCATTTTCCCCTTGAATTCTAGGTTTTTTGGCTGCGATCTTTTGGGAGGAAATATCTCACTGAATTCTCTGAATGGGAGGAAGATGCTTTGCCACTTGGGAGAAGGGAACTCCTAAAGTGTTACTCAGAAGAATGCAAAATAGAGGTCAGCTCCTGTGATAGGATGTTTGGGGCAGGAGTAGACATGGAAAAGCTTTCTTTACAAGGTTGACATAAAAAAGCTGCACTACCATATAATTCTAATGCTCACTATCTTTGCTGTAGTTAGAAGTTTGTTTTTGTTTTGATCTGGTTTGTTTTTGGAGTACATGGATAACTTTAATTTATGCTTCAAAAAGCAGTTAATACATACTCCTCTGATGCTATATCACTGATAAAACTACAATCCTTGCAGAAATATGTATCACCCCTGAGGTTCTTTTTCTTGCAGTAGGAAGCCATGTTTTGAGCCTGACCTTTTTCTGCCTCTCTTGTGTAATACATATAAATTGCTGTAGACTATGATGATAATGGTAGAAGTAGCATACTACTTGTATAGTAGTTTGGGCTTTAGTAATTGAAGCTCCTTCTCATGTGTTCAGTGATTAACGAAAAAAATAATGTAGTCTCAATTCTAGTATGTCCAATATGTGCAGTCACTACCTGGCAGGGAAGATGTTCTCTTTGTTGTGGTTTAATTTGTTTGAGAATGCAGTGAAAACTTGTCTATCCAAGTGTTTCGAATATAGTTTTAACTTCTCTGATCTGCCTAGTTGTAACAGAATCCAGGGTTGTCCTGATGAACTCAGGGGTGAGGGGCAGTAATTTGTTTCCCATAAGGTTGAGATTTTAAGTGTGGCATCTGAAAGGATTCTACTTCCTGAAAGTACCTCTGATGTAAACTAGTTAGAAGAAATATAAGGCTTGATGAAGTTCCTGTCAGAAACTTCTCTTTCAAGTGAGAAAAACTGTATAAAGAAGAACAATTGCCTAGTATATAAGATATTAAAATATGGCCACATGTACTACTCTGTTACCTGTGCAATGGCAGCACATGCCTTCAAATTTGTCACCTCTTAGTCATGTTATTTCATGTTAATAACTTGCAGTTTGTAATGTTTGTTGTTCTTTTGAATTTACTGTTTTAAAAAGTAGTTGGTGTATTAAAAAAAATAGTGTAGCATTAGATTAACTTTGCTGTATGTCCCTGTTTCCTGCCTTCCCAATGCTATGGAGAGACATTTAAGCAGTATTTGAGGTACCCAGGTCCCTAATATGAGGACAGTGGTTTCACTGGCTTTGGAGAAGCCTCAGGATGGGGCTGTTTAACCCTAAGCTTCCCAGAGTCTTGAGGAGTAGAGTTAGAGCATCCTCAAGCAGGGATGACAACTATTGGTGGCACTTGCCATTCTCCAGTTGAAATGGTGCCAAAGACGTCTCGCTGAACTTTCAGTTCACGTTTTTCATCTATTACTTGAAAACTGATAAATCAAAAAAGACTTCAAGCCAACCAACCCAAACACCATCACCCCCAGATACCAAAAGGGAGCATAACATGCATAACATAGAAAATTAATGTGGCCATGCTATTGTAGTAGTAGACTGAGGTGTTGTTTTTTAGATACATAAATGTTATACTTTTTTGCAGGATAGGGATGACAAGACAAGACAAGAAAAGCTTACCTTACCTCATGGAAGACTGCAAAGCTTGTTTAAAGCATTTGACAGACGTGTTAGTCAAAGTGAATGATAGTTATTCTCCCATGCTTGGTAGGATATAGAAAAATAAAATAGCTTGTTCAGTAATTTTCTGTAGTATTGCCAGTTCTATTTTGACGGAATATTCTAAATATTTTTTAAAATTATTTTTTATTTTTACACTGCGCTCTACCTCTTGCCCAGTTTCTCCTTGCCCTTTTTTTTATACCACCATCACTTAAATCTCTCTCTCACTTAGCCAGAGACCTGGGTAAAAGATGAAAGATTCAGAAATATGGCATTCTCTTCTACAATCTCCAAAACAAAAGGGGATTTTGTAGAATGGTTTGCATATATTTGGCTGCTTGTGGGTGGATTTGGATGCTCCTGGAAGTTTAAACCTGGAGGTTTAAATCTGTAGTACTCCTTGTGTCTCTCTCTTCTACTTCCTTGAACCAGTAATTTAAGAACCTGTTGACCTATTTAGTAAAATTTGATAGAGGGAAGATTCTCAAAGATGGTTGAACTTTATACGTTTGGTGAATGAAAGGTAGCTGAGCAATGGAGTGTTCAATAGCAGTAATAGTTGCTGTGATTTCCTCTCTTATTGGCACCAAGGAATTAATGTAGGGGAGAATAAGTAAGCAGACTTTGGGTTTAATAATATTGAATACAGGTCCTTATACTTTGTGTTGTAGAAGAAAGTGAGAACTGAAGTATTGTGTGGTGACTGAAAACTTTATTATGCTATTTTAATGTTTGTATTACAACAGCGACTGAAAATCATGTGGCTGTAGCAGCTGGAATTTTAATCCTTTTAATTATGACATTTTCAAAGCATGCTCTGGCTGAATTGGTCAGCTGACTGTATAGTATGTACAATAACATCAAGTGATTGCACAGATTCTGAGAGCAGTGGTCACCTCACTGGAACAGGATGTATTTTTAGGCTTCTCTGCTAGTAACAGTCAAGTGTGTGTACTTAAGCATCTCGTATGAACTGCAGCTAGTTGCTGACACTACACTAGTGTCAGAAAGGGACAGCTGTTCGTTCTTGCTGTAGTCATTGATCTGACACTCTATCTTCTCCCCATATTGTGTCAAAGAACACAATGGGGCATGAACACTGTAAATATTATTGGTACGTGTTTTAATGACAGGTATTCTACTTCAGGACAGTAATGGCACTCTTTGCTGTCCCTTTCAATTTTCTGTATCAGAGGAAATGAAAGTACTTTGTTACCTCCAGCAAGAATTTTCTTTATCTCCCCTTTACCCAACAGTTTTCCTTTACAAGGCAATGTTTGGGAAGAGGGTGGTTCTTGTTCTCAGTATAATACTAGTGATATGCTGGTTTTGGTTCTCCAAAGGAAAATGATTCACATGTGGATGCTCTTAATGAATCAAAGAGCTGCTAAGTTCTGTGGTTCACAAGGTTAGCTTATAAAATGGAGTGAGTTGTGACCATTTGTTGATTAAGGAATGTGCTAATTCTTGAGGTCTTGTCCATATACCAGTTTGATAGAGTAATTTGTTTTTTGGTTTGTTGTTTTTTTTTTTTTTTTTTTTTTTTTTTTTTCCTTTGGACTTAATTTGCAATTTGATAATTGAATTCTATCAAAAGTCTTAACTAGCTTAAGCAGACTAGAACTCATGATTGCCCAAAACAGCTTTTGAGTTTGAAGCCCAGGTATTGAAATCGAAAGTGCTGAAAAGGACATTTAAAATGTATAAAAGGACTTTGTAGTAAGCTATAAATAAAATGTGACATTCTAACTAAATTGAAGTTCTGCAGCAGGTGCTGTGAAGTTAAGGCTTGTAAGCAGGACACATAATTTTAATGAGTGTCCTACCGACGTTCTAAATGATGTCCAGAGGGGTTTTAAATTATGTATTTAGTTCAAATACTTTGGCTCCTTAATTTTAAGAGAAATGACAACTAATCAAACTTCTTAGTGACCAGTAAAATTCTTATTTACTGAAACTGAGAGAACAGGTTACTTCAGCTATTTAATTGATCACGTGTGTAACTACTTCTTTATAAAAGCAATTACAAGCATCTGTTATAGAACTGAATTAGCATCTACTTATTGGTAAAACATGGTATTTTAGTGTCTGCTCTGGCTTGCATATACCATCTGTTAGTGATATTTGATGTTTTCACCAGGTTTTGTCTCTTTCTTACACACTTCAAAATTTCATTTGCTTGTATGAAATCATTAAGTTTTGATGAATATTAGTTTATGTGTGAAAGGAGTCCAGGAGCCTGAGAAAAGCCAGTTACCATCGTGCAACTCAGGTTTCACAATCTTGACTGGTAAAGACCAAGAGTGTGCTAGAGAGGAGGATGTTATACGGTCTTAATAGAATGTGTTGGAGAATGGCTAAGGGAAGAGGGACATGGATCTAGAGATCCTCTTTGCGACGAGAGTCTCTTTTAAGTTAGCATGAGTAGGCCTCAGTCAGCAAGAGTGAACAACAGCAAGAGTGAATCCCGTGGGAAAGTACTGACTAAGGTTTTGAGATGAAACATTCTCCATCTCGTCAAGGTTGGGAAGCATTCCTTGTTCTTCTTTAATCAGGGGAGGATGGAGAAATGAGCATTCTTTGTTTCTCCTAAACTAACTTATCTGGGTCTTTCCCAGGGCTTGGGCCAACAAGCCCTGGCATGGCTTGCTTGTATTTTATCCAATCAATGATTGACTAGTAGGCATAATTAAGCAGAAGGATTATAAAAGGCTGTAATGAAAATCAATAAACTGAAGCATGCTTTATCACTCATACTGAGTCGGCTACGTTCTTCTTCCTTGGCTGGGTCCTCGGCTCGCCCAGCCTGGCAGAATGTTCTTCTGTGTAAGCTCACATCGTCTTTTTAAAGATAGTATTCAATGATGGTTGACTAATTTAGGGTATGTCTGCACAAATGGTGCAGGCAAACACGAGCTCAGTTTGTGTGCGTTGGGAGCTGTCGGCACAAGGGCCAGCGTTGGCCTGGGGGCGGTGGCACAGCGCTGGCGCGGCAGCATATGCCCGCCCTCTGCTCCAGCAGTGGCTCACTTCTGTCCAGCTTGCAGTGTGCAGGCTGCATAGCTTTTTGCAAAGTAGGTAAAAATTTTTTTTTTTTTTTTTTTATTATTTAAAAAAATAAGTGTGGGTAGCTGATTAAATTAAGCCTTACTGCTGCCAGACTGTTTTATAGGAGCAGGACCGTGTTTAGGTACATGAAGCAAGGGTTGGGTTCTGTGAGGGCTCTTGCATTATAAACTGGCAATTGTCTCTTTCAGGGATGTTTCCATTTTGTGTTGAGCACTTTAAAATACACACATAACCTGAGAGCTTCCTTTTGATGTCTGCTCACCTGTTGATTTGAGGAAAACTAGAGTTGGTTTCAGTAATGATGCAAAACTGAAATTTCTTTGGTCTAGCAACAGGTAGACTGCTGTATTTGGCAGGAATTACTTTGAGGGCTTTGCTGGAAGAACTAAAAATAGAGAAGTCAAATAATTTTCTCTCATTCTTTACTGAACGTGTTCGGCTCTTTGCAGTAGATGCTATCTGACTTAATAGGCAAGTTTGTTGTGGTTTAAACCCAGCTGGCAGCCAAACACCACACAGCTGCTCACTCCCCCTCCCAGGGAGAGAATTGGAAGGGTAAAGGTAGGGAGACTTGTAGGTTGAGATAAAAACAATTTAATAATTGAAATAAAATTAAAATAATGATGATAGTAATAATAGGATATACAGATGAGTGATGCACATTATTACTCACTACCTGGCAACCAACGCCCAGCCCATTCCCAGCTAGCGATCCCAGAGAAGTGAGAAATCCTAAAACCACAATCCCAGAAGAGGAGAGCGAACTTCACTGCCAACCCTCACCTATATATTGAGCATGATGTTATATGATATGGAATGTTTTATTGGCCAGTTTGGGTCTGGTACTCTGGCTGTGCTCCTTCCCAGCTTCTTGTGCACCTGCACACCAGCAGGACATGGAAAGTTGAAAAGTCCTTGATCTCCTAGCAACAACTGAAAACATCAGTGTATTATCAACATTCTTATCCCAAATCCCATACTGAATACAAAACACAACACTATTCTAGCTACTAAGAACGAAAAATAGCTCTATCCCAGACAAAACCAGGACAAAGTTGAAAGCGGGTTGTGTGCCAGAAAGGTTTGCTAAAACGTTTAGCAAGTCAGTCAGTCACTGAGTTCAGTGACTGATGCACTTGACAATTTACTCGAAACTTACTTGTTACTCAGTATATAAACACTAAGGTATGGTGGGGAAAATTCAGCTGTGTTTTGCCTGCTAAGTGTAGCACATATGCTTCTTTGTTAGAAGTGTTCAGGAGAGTGGGTGGCTAAAATATTTGAGTTATCCAAATTACGATGGATGGGGGGATGAGGACTGATTGCAACTTAAAGTTGGCATGAATTTCAAAGCATTAAAAGTATACAAGTGAGTGAAGCATCACATAGATTTCTATTTAAATACTGTAAATTATTTAAAGCGGAGTGTCTAAAAGGCACTTTTGTTTCCTCTTACCTTCGGTTTGAACAAAAGGAAAAATACTATGCAGTTCTATTTTTACAGTTTGGAGTATTTTTAATTTAACAAGTTTTAAGGCATTAAAATTGAAGTGTTTAGTTTGAAGACAATGCATGAGATCACTTGTTAGCTAGCAGAACAAGTTAAGGAACCATTTTTATTAGTCTTAAATTCTGTAAGCATTTTGTATTTCACTAAAAATGCTGGAGTGAGGGGAGTGAAGAGAAGAAGGAACTGAGCAGTGTATTTTGGGGACAGTATTTCAAGATTTGACTCTGTACAAGTCATTCTCTGGTACCTCTGAACTGTAATCCTAGTGGTATCATTTCTGAGAAGGAATTTGTTAGAGCATAGGGGAGGGAGAGCTTGGTCACTTGCGTGGGCCTGCACTCCAGTGAGCAGTTCCACAGCTTCTCGATGTATGGCACAAAGATGCAAAATTTACTCTCTTATCTTCTTTTTTTCTTTTTTTTTTTTCTTCTTTTTCCTCCATAACACAACAAAGAATTTTTTTTTTTTTTTTTTTTTTTTTTGGTGTCAATGTGTTATAATAGATTATGCAGTGAATTTTATTTGGATTTTTACTGCTGTTTGGCCTTGTTATGTAAAGTTGTTTTGTTACCTTTACACCTTGAACTGCTGGTATTGTAATCAGGGCACCCATCAGATGCATTAAAAAGATTACCTTTTGTGGGTTGAACTGGAAGTATAGATAGGACCATGTTGGGTAGTAAAGTTTTATGTAAAAGCTTTCAATGAAATAAAAGGACTTAATGTGTAGTATAATTGCCACCCTTGTGCAACAGCTACTGTAAAAATAAGGGAGGAGCTATATACTATAGATGAAGAAAAAAAAGAGTGAAGAGCTGTTGTAAAGGACTGCTGTCTGTCTGAAGCATGGAGAGGGGAGAATGGGACATGACAGAGGATTGAGGTATGCACTGAGGTCTGCAGATTGCCTTAAACAGAACTGCATGATGTCAGAAGCTTAGGTGGTAGCAAGCAGCCTATGGAATAGGCTACCTGTGTTTAATTTAGAGAACTGGAGATGAAGATGAATCTGGCTTCCTTTATTTCATCTTCTTACTCTGTAGAGTTGAATGGTTTATGATTTTAGGCAGTAGGCCATAGTCAATGATCATGTTGTTTGTTTTGTTTTGTTTTTTTTTTATTTGAATCATTTATTTGCAATGGGCAGGAGAAAAAAGCTGTTCAAGAGGGAAGGATTATGCAACTTTTTTACCTAAATTGCGTATATTATACGTGGTGAATAAATGAATAGACTATATCTTGAACTCTAGTACAAATGTATATCTTCAGTTTTCAGGGGAACTTTTAAACACCATTTTTTTGAGATAACATGTAACATACTTGTTCTCTTAAAATGGCTACTGATCAGTTCATATAGTATTAACATATATCTTTCTGTACACCTAGAGGATGCAAAACTGCAAATAATAGTTAGTAAATATTAACAATATTGAATTAATATTCTATGCTTTTTATCTCCTTTCTCTTCACTCAGAATTTGGTTTACAGTCATGGAGGAACATCAACAACATTTACACTGTGTGAACTGTGTCAGCCGTCGTTGTATGACCAGACCAGAGCCTGGCATTTCCTGTGATTTGATTGGCTGCCCGTTGGTTTGTGGAGCAGTTTTTCACTCATGTAAAGCTGAGGAACATCGCATGTTATGTCCACTTGAAAGAGTGCCTTGTCTGAATAGTGGCTTTGGATGTCCCTTCATAGTAGCCCGAAATAAAATTGCTGATCATCTAGAAGTCTGTCCTGCAAGTGTAGTATGTTGTACCATGGAGTGGAATAGATGGCCAGTCAGTTACGCAGACCGAAAATCTTACGAAAATCTGAGTAAAGATGTTGATGAAGTGGAGCAGCTAGATATGGCTTTAGCCCTTCAAGACCAGCGCATGTTATTAGAATCGCTTAAAGTAGCAACTATGATGTCAAAAGCAGGTGATCAAATAGCAGAATCCAGAGAGCAAGCCTCTGTCAAATCAAGTACCCCAGATGCAGCTCACTCAAATGGTTTGATGCCTGTAGATGAAGAGTCCTATGGTGCACTTTATCAAGCTACTGTAGAAACAACGAGGAGTTTAGCTGCTGCTCTGGATATCCTGAACACTGCTACAAGGGACATTAATATGTTAAGTTCAAGGCTCTGCATTTCACCACATGAAATGAAAGAAGATACTGAGATTAAAGAACAAGCTTCTAATGGCATTATTCAGGATAAAAAGTCTGACCATGAATATCCAGATGAAGACAACATAGGAGCAGTTGGGGGAATTAACTTTGATAGCCTGAGTCAAAATTCACAAATGGAGCAAAATGGTTCTAGTGATATTTGTTACGATGTAGTGCAAAAACATGACTTAAATCTAAACCTCAGTAACTCCTCACTTTTGTGTAATGGCTTTCATGTAGAAAATGAATGTTCGAAGGTGGTGGACCAGAATGAGGATCTTGGTGTATCTAATTCAAAACCATCCAGTGTAGCAAATGGTGAATGTACTGCATCTCATGATGATGAAGCATTACAGTCTTGCAGCTCCTTCCCTGTGACAGCACAGCTTAAAGAAGTAATATCAGCTGATTACTTAATTAATGGCAATGTTAATCATGTACTACTTCCCCATAATGCTAATGAAGAAGAATTGTTAGAGAGACAAGTAGAGCAAGAAAGGTTGAGAAATGTAGATGCGTTTTCACTTTTACGGCATCGATCATACAAATTCCTTGTTAACCACTATTGGTCTACACCAAAAGAAGACAAAGCTGTTGATACATCGGATTTGGAAATAACAGAAGATCCTATGGGTCTTCAGGGGATTGATCTAATCACTGCAGCTCTGTTGTTTTGCCTAGGAGACTCTCCCGGAGGTAGGGGGATATCAGAAAGTCGCACTGTCGATGTGTATCACGTTGACTTTGGGACCCAAACGTTTTCTCTCCCATCTGCTATATTGGCCACAAATACAATGGTGGGGGAAATTGCTTCAGCTTCTGCATGTGATCATGCCAACCCACAGCTCTCAAATCCAAGTCCATTCCAGACCCTTGGACTGGATTTGGTATTGGAATATGTGGCTAGATACCAAACAAAACAGCGTTCAATGTTTACATTTGTTTGTGGACAGTTGTTTAGGAGGAATGAGTTTTCATCACATTTTAAGAATGTGCATGGTGACATTCATGCTGGCCTTAATGGCTGGATGGAGCAGAGGTGTCCTTTGGCATATTATGGGTGTACATATTCTCAACGAAGGTTTTGTCCTTCAACACAAGGGGCAAAAATTATTCATGACCGCCACTTACGGTCATTTGGAGTTCAGCCTTGTATATCCACAGTATTAGTAGAACCAGCAAAAAGCTGCTTAGTTGGACTACACAATGACCATCTGAGTAGTCTACCTTTTGAGGTTCTGCAGCACATTGCTAGTTTTCTAGATGGCTTTAGTTTATGTCAGCTTTCAAGAGTGTCACGTTTAATGAGAGATGTGTGTGGAAGCTTGCTTCAAGCACGTGGAATGGTGATACTGCTTTGGGAGAAGAGAAAGTACCCAGATGGAAGAAGTTCTTGGCAGATAAAGGAAAAGGTAAGTTATTTTTTTATTTTGAAGCTGAAAGAGAGGGTATAAAATTGGTCATGTCTCTGCTTTTTCCCTTAATGTTTTCCCTGATCACTATTGTTATTACTGTTTTTTGATATAATATCCCTTCAAGAAACAGATTGTCATATAGAACAATTAGTGAAAATTGCTAGCAGGTTGGTTCAGTCTACTCCACACTTGAAGAAGTAGAAGTACTTTCAGTCCAGTTTTTACTTAATGTAAGTAAATTAACCTTCCCCCCCCCCCCCCCAAATTTTGAAATATTAAATGATTTCTTCATTATTTTCTTTAGTGTCAATAGTCTGTGAAAGTGGGAAAGTTGCCTACAAAGTTTGTTTTTCCTGCCTTTATACTGTTTACACCAATTCTAATTTTTGCTAACCTGTTGAGATCCTATCCATTGCCATGATATTAAGTGACATAAGTATGTAAATAATTCTTAAAACCTTTGGGTGATTTTTGTGTAGTTACAGTTTTCACCATTTCCCACCACCCCCCTAGAACTGCAGAGTATCTGCAGCAATCATTTGGAATTCCGGAAGTTGGTCCTTTTAGAAATGGATTTTGGTGACTGGTCATGCAATACTTCGTCATTTAACTTCTGATTGCATCTACTTTGTAGATGCAAAAAAATATTGCCAGTTTCTTCCCAGTGTTCAGAGTTGACTTGGAATCTGAAACGGCCTGGGACTCACTACACAAAATTTAGCATTGTATGCTTTCGTCATGTTGATTTTTAGTGTAATTTATAGTAGATGCAAAACATTGCCTGAAAGTATTATAGCACAGACATTTAATTACCTGCTCTGAGTTCAGGCATCTTTAAACATTTTGAGCCTAAGTGCAACTTATTTTCTAGGTTTGGCGCTTCAGTACAGCCTTCTGTACTGTGAATGAGTGGAAGTTTGCTGACATCGTAAGCATGGCTGACCACTTGAAGAAATGTAGCTATAATGCTGTAGAGAGAAGAGAGGAGGCTGTTCCGCTGCCATGTATGTGTGTAACACGAGAACTCACTAAAGAAGGACGTTCGCTGCGCTCTGTTTTGAAACCAGTACTTTAAATATTGCAACCACTCCAATTGCACATACACTCAAGCACCTGATATAACCTTGGTAATATTACATGACACTTTATTAATGTACTAAAGATACTTTCTAGCTAAATCTACTCTGTCACTGTGTATATAAGGTTTGAAGTGACATTTATTTTTTATAATACTGTTTAGCTGGAAAGTAATGAAAGTTGCCTTAACGTTTGAAAAATTCGGAACTTGCTGGACAGGGTAGTTTTATCTAACTTATGTAATTTAAGAACAAAATCCTAAGGTGTGTTTTCTGATTCACTGGTGCCCATGTTGCTGTTGACTGATAACATTTCAGAAATGGCCTCTAAATGGTATGCACATTTAGATAGGAAACACTGAATTGTAGCGAGACAAAATCCTGACCAAATGTACTTTCTGTATTTGGTCTATTTTTTTTAACAAATTATAATCCAAATATTTGAAAGATAAGGAAGAACTCAAAACTTCATAGCAGATGTCTCAAACTCAGCTTTTAAGAACATCTTTTCTCACAAAATCAGTGTTCTAGTGCTCTTCCTAGTTAACAGGTGATCTAGGATCAGCTTTCTTTTTAAAATTTTTTTGGGGGGAATGATCTAAACAAACAGATTTACAGCAGCTTAATTTTTAGTATAACTTTCTTTTGACATGTCAACAATAATTATTTTTCTTCTGAACTAGTAACAGTTATTTCACTTTTGGGAGCAAAACTTTTAGAGCTAAGAACATGGAATACTAGTTTTTACTTTCGCACCTACAATGACATCAATATACGATGTTTAAAATGTTTTCCCTTGTCCTGCAGTTGGCTGAGGGTTAAATTGCTTGAGCAGTCAGAAATTCAAAGTATGTGATGAACAGTTATGAATTTATAATGCAGCTAATGAAAGGGCTTTACTTGTTCTATGGTATTGTGAGATGTATTGTCTCCTTTTCTGTTAATTTGTCTATAAAAATGCTGCTTTTTTGAGGAGCATTTTAAATTACTGGTATGTTTAGCAAATGTATCATCTTCATAAGATGAGACATGATTTGTTAATTGCATAAGGCATATCAGAAGTGAATGTTCAACCACATCTGTTAAATGAAAAGCTCCAATTTGCTTCCAGTCTTCCATAATAAAAGATCTTACAAAGCATTTGTGAACAGAGAATACATGATATGAAAAATGGCCTGGTACAGCAAAACTGTAATAACTTGAGCTGACTTTCCAACTTGTTTGTATTAATGTTGGTGTCTCTAGCCTGTTGCACTTAGCAACTGTGCCACAAAGCTAAAACAGAAACAGACCAGAGCTTGGAACAAAGAAATACAGTACGTATTTCCATTATAGGAAAAAATAAGAGATTAGTAAGGAGGAGATGTTTACAAAAAACGGCTAAATTTATTACTCCTAATTTCTGTACTGGACACTTGTTTATGGCTAGTCTGGCTGCAGTTCACAACTTTGGTATCTGTGCATTTCCCATTCTGGGTCGAGTCCAGCTAAATATTCACTGCCTTTTTCTATCCAGTGCTACAGGTGCCCAGAAAAAATAAAATCTAGTTCTTCAGTGCCATGAGTTTAAATTATAAGAACTCAAACAAAAGTTCTGCCTGGATCCTCAAACTACCTGGTCTCTTTTGACACTTCCTCTTTTTTTGTTTGGAGAGAGGAAATGAGTAAACCCTCTACAGAAGTTAACAATATTTGCAGTAATTTGTAGCTGTTACCACAGTTATCTGGAGAGGAGAACCTAGATTCATGTACAAATCTGACTATACCAACTGGGTTTTAGGTAGGGATTTTACCTCCCCCCCCACCCCCTGGCCCCTGTTCTCTGAGTGCATTGAAATGCTCATTACCCACAAATTCTTCAGTACAAGGCAGGAGAGAGACTTTCATCAGTTCTTGTCTTTTAGCTCTAATGGCTCCTTGCTGCTGCTCTCCAGTGTTTAAAAATAGTTGTGTGACTGGAAGGATCCTGAATGTTGAGGAATTTATGCTTGTGTTTATGGCTAAATCTACTTTAAAACATCTGTCTTGGGTTACTGGTATTTTTTAGTCAGTAATGTGGTGGTTTTGGTACTTGGCATTCTTTGTAACTACCCAGAACCCTGGTAAGCATAGTAGGCAGGCACATCTCTCAGTTGCTTAGGAAAAGAAAGCGTTCAGTTAGAGGAGCTGGTGTTGGTAGAATCTCACTTGTAGCGCAGTGCAGATCTACATCTAAAGTATCATCAGTTGTTGATCTATTAAGATGAACTTTTTAAGTACTTGGTGTTCTTCTTAAGAAATAACACTATTTCTCAATACATGCACTTTTGTTTTCAAATGTAGATACAGGCTTTTTTGTTAAATTAGTTTATTTTTTATGAGAATCCAGAGCTATTAAGATATCAATGTTGTAAACAAAATATCTGCCTTGTAAACTGCTCCAAATGCAGAAATACAATATAGTTAGGATAAAAACTTTTTTTTACACTGCTATGCAGTTTGTAAAACATCTATGGTGTATAGTCAGTCTATCAAAATGTGGCTTGTTCACATTTGCCCTTGATTTTTAAAAATGTCGTATCCCTTTCCTGGTACATCTCCCTTACAGCATATATAGACAGCTGTTCCAGTCTTTCTTTTACTTCATACCACATTGCTACTTTGTTTAAAATATTATGTTTTCAATCATTATGCAATATTTTTTTGCAATGTCTGTTGAAATCCTAATAAAACTTTTGGAGTTTCTCTTTTAGTATGATTGTACTTTTTTTAAGCTTATCACCAGCCTTCCGGTGTTGAAACATGGTGCTCAATGTCTGCCTATGGGATTCCAGTAAGTACTCAAAAAGATCAAGTTACATAAAGGAACCTGTTTGCAAACATTTAAATGTTGCATAATTTGGAAGTGATTGATACATATTCACATTCACTTCAGTATGAAGATTGGTCATTCCTTTATAGACTGCACATCCATTTCTGTTGCTTTGGTCTATTATGCAACATAGATTTCCTTCCACAGTTAAAGATTTATCTACATAACATTGAAGACTCGTACCTTGTAGGCTGGTTTTAATTGTTTTTGTCTGAATAATAAATTGGAAATATTATGTATTCAATATGACACACACTGCTGGTTTGAAAAGAACATTTTCAGTGTATTGTCTCATGAGTAAAGTTTTCTGTAGAAAGTTATTTCATAAAATGGTGTGGAAGCAAAAATGTAGGGTGGTTTTTAGATAATAGTTGTAGTTCAGACTCTTTGTGGAATGGCAAAACATAAAACAAAACCCCACTGAAATAGAAGACCTTTTGCACCAGCATTTGCTAATATGAGTATGCTTAATAGTCTTTACAAATAAAAATGTACCTATACTACATCAATCTGGTAATAAATTCATCTAAACAGTGTTAAGAAACGTGGTGTGACTCATGGTTTAATTTCAGCCATTACAAACTTGTGGCTGTTTTGGACAGGCCACATTAGCCTTTTGTTTTTCTCTCTCCATAAGTGGATTAGGTATTCTGCTGTGTAAGGAAATATTTTTTGTTTAACTTTCTTGATGCTTAAAGTATTCTAGAGGATTTGCCTGTATGCTTTAGCTTGTTTTTCTGAGAATACTACTGCCAGAGCTATCTTCATAGGCTCTTATTTGCCGAATGTACTTTCTTAAAATGAGATTTATGTTCAGTGGAGAATTTGATGCTTACTCTAATATCAGAAAGCTGATTTAAATTCTTTCAGTCAGAATGTCTGTTCAGGCATCTTTGATCATCTTCAGATGAGCAAAGTCTAGTGGTTGTTTAGAGAACTGAGGCAAAAACCAGCCTTCAGATAGTGTTTATAAAAAGTTACGGCTTGTAAAGCAGAGACTATTTGAAGAATGGGATTCTCATAGTGTGACTGTTCAGCACGTGGTGAATATTGTAGCAATAATCCAAACTGGAGAGGAAAACTGAATGGAGAATTAGGCTTAAAATAAGGAAGGCATCCAATCTCAGCATAGAAACTCTTCTGAGGAACTGTGTGTGTCAGAGTGCTGGGAGTTTCTGACTTGCGCATGCTGCCACAGCGTTTCACCAATGATTTATCAGTCTTTCCATGATACCGGGAGTTACCCTGCTGCTACTTGAGCTCTAATGTGCTTTAGTTGTAAACTGTCTCCAAGTGATGCCAGCACTCCCGCATCAAGTAATAGTTAAGTTGAATGCAGTCCTCTCTACTGGATGCAAGGTATGCATTCAGTGTAGGTTCTACATGGTGGTGGTGTCAGAGGCAGTATTTGGTAAGAATAATACAAAAATAAGGTCCTTTGGATATGGAGGCTTCATCTGCTTGGTTTCCATCAGCATTTGCCATAAAAAGGGAACAAAAATGTGTCAGTGAATGCAAGGAGCAAAATAAGAAGACTGATAGCATTCACTGTAGCTTGCTAATGGCCTGGTAAGTTGAGAAAACATTAATCATCACTAGATGCATTATGAAATGTGATAGCAAAAGTCCACACCTCTGCCATTTTGACAAACCAAATTCTGCAATAAATGCAGTAGTAGGTATGCAGACTGGCTATAGCCTCAGGCAGCAGAAAAAATGTGTACAAAATAAGCATGTATGATTTTTAACTGCAAAATATAGGAGGAAAAAAAAAAAATGAGGTATGAATTCACATAAGGCTTTTGTAGAATCAATTAGAAAAATGTGATTTCTGCCTTGAGGATATTTCAGTGTTCTGGTGCTTAGTATCGTCTTAAACTGGGCTGACATTTAGTTATTTATTTAAAATCATAATATAAATGAACTGCAGAACAATAGTAGTAGGAGAGGTTGCAATGCCCTTACAAAATTATTTGTTTGAAAGTGTCATCATGTTGTATCAAACCAAGAATTTTGCAATATAAAAAAATGGAACACACAGAATAGATTGCAATATATGCTTTTCATTTAAGATTTGCCTTTTTTTTCTAAGGTATGTTTTCAAGCATGTAACGAAAGAGCTATCGTCAGGCTTACTGTGATTTAAATGGAGAGAATTCTGCTAGCAAGATGAAAGTTGGGTTGCATTAGTATTTTCGCGTGAACATCCCAACAAAGGGGTAGGCTGCAGAACAAAACTAACCTGATTATGTGACTGGTTAGCAAATGAACAGTCAACAACCTGGCACAAATACATGTTGGACTTTGTTCAGAAGTGTTAGTGTTTGATTGTTACGTGTTGTGTAATCTTCTGAATACTGTGTACTCTTTTTAGTATTGTAATTAGATAGTTGTGTTCCACATGTAATTCTGGAGGCCTTTACAGCAAACAGGAAATAATGTGCCACTTAATGAGATTTGAACCATGCTTAAGGTAAAATATGACTGTTACAAACTATGGCATCTGTTTATGAGAGTCAGCTGCCTGGAGTGTTGGATCATTGTGCATTTCAAGAATAAGGGACGAGTGGATGCCTTGTTGCCTAAGCAAGAAGAGTTTTATATGGTATCTCGCTGTGTGCATGGGTTTTGGTATGGAGATAAATAGGATGTTCTTGCATTAACAATGCAATAAGACTAACTTCTCAGCAGGTAGGATTGCACACAACACAAAATTGCTTCTGTGTTTTGTGATAAAACAGGTTCAGTCTAAGTGACCTATGACTCGGACATCAGTTAACTGGAGTTACAACTTGTAATCATATTTTTTAGCTGATGCCATTTTGGATAAACACAGAAGCATTTATGTTAAAGGTTAAAAAACAAAACAAACCAGCCAGAAAAAAAAAAAAAAAAAAAAACAAAAAAAACAAACAAACAAACAAAAAAACCCCCAAAACACTACTACACTAAAAAAAAAGCCAACAACTAGAAAAATTCTCAGTGATGGATTTCTGTCCTGTTTCTGTATATAAACAGTGTTCATTAATGTTTGTTAAAAGAGCCTGGCAAGTAAACAGAAAACTCAATTTCTGTATTTTGTTCATATGAAGTCTACTGCAAATAGATAAGAAAGTGCATCATTTTAATGAAAAACAAAACCAAAACAAGACACGTTTACGAAAGCTGTGTGATTGGCAGTGTCACCTTTTTACTGTCCTTTTGATCTTCAAGTGAAGCTTAAATCATACCATAGTTGCTAATTTTATCATCCAGATGTGTTTTATTCTCTTTGACTAATTCATGAATGTAGCTTTTATAGGTGTTTAATGGGCTGAGACAGTTTCAAGTACAACATTCTAGCACTGATCTTTGCCATGATTGCAGGGAGTCTTGGCTAAGATTTTGGTGGTTACTGTGTACCTCAGATGCAATGAGATGATCTTTTCAGCCCTATATTGAAGATCAGGGAGAGGGGCAATTCTCATATATAGCTCTGATCCTCCATACTGTCTTGGAAGCTCTTCAGTTTTCTTGGAGTCATATTGAACCCACAAGAGTCTCACCTCATGTCAGTTCTTATCTGTTTAATGCTTTGCACTTCATGTCTTTATTTCAAGTACTGTACAGGTTTCATAGGAAAATCTGGGGTTTTTTTTGCTTCGCAGGGAAGTTGACACAAAAAACCCCCAGAACATGTAGTCATCTCTATGCTTGAGTATTCACATTTCACGTAATTTGAAATATGTGCCAGATGGGTAATTAATGTTAGCCAATATTGAAATCATTATCTTTTCCATCCAAGGTGGGACAAATCTCTGGATCATCAAATCTGTTTCTGAACATCTAGGATACCTGAAGAAAGTCTGTTTTTTCAGAGTGGTAGGGGCGAACGGGCAGATTTGTAACCAAAACAAAGGGTTCTCATTCTGGCTGAGGCAGCAAAAACCTGCCTTATTTTTAGAACTTCTAGTTCTAATAATCTAGTCCTAAGTCTAGGTCTAAATCTAGTTGTGCTCCTCAATGAGAAGTTCTGTGGGTGGTACTCCTTAAAGTCATCTTTGGAAAGCGAGTCGTGGCAAGTGAACTCACATTCGAAGAGTTAAGCATGGCTGCTCTCCAGAATAATTACAAGGAGGCAAAAGACTAACAATTTGGTCGACTTCGGTTAAGTTGAAAAGCTTCTCTTCGGTGCTTAGGTATGACACAGTAAAAGTGCATTTAGTAGCCTTTTACACACCAGTAAGAGCCATTCTGTGCTTTTGCAATCATGTCACATGAAAATTCATTCAAGGACTTAGTGTGCTGCTTCTGCTTGCAAACTCTGTTCCTTATCACGAGGTTAAACTGTTCTTGTCTCTTCGTGAGGACATTTTTGAGCATGTAACTACCTGCCTCCTCCTGGTGAAGCTAACAGCTTTTTTGGTGGCTGTGATTTCCAATGCATGATTTTAGAAAATTCAGTCTTTATGGCAGATTCTGTTTATGCAAGGTACCTTCCCTCCCCCCAGGTAAACGTTGCCCTCTGAATACTTCTAATTCTTTCCTGAAATACTGTCTTTCTGCTGCTGAAATTGGGAGACAACTCTCCTTGATTCTCCCTAAGGTGTGTGTATCCATGATTGAGGCCTTCCTCCTCGAGGGTGTAGGGCATGCTTTATCTGGAACAGGACTGCATGGGGTTTATGTGGCAAGGGTTTGCTAGCAGGGGGGTGGGAGTAGGAGGGGTCACCTCAGTGAGAAGAGACTAGGGCCAGCCCCGTGCTGGACACAGTTGGTTCTACGTGGCTCTGCAGTGGACTCACTGCTGGCCAAAGCTAAGCCCACGGATGAAGTTGGTGGTGCCTCTGTGGAAACATATTTAAGAAAGGGTAAAACCCACTGTGCAGCAGCT